GGGATTCCACTGGCTCCGAGATATGCTGCGCCTTTGCGCGGCGCGAGAGCCAGCCTGGAGGGCGCCGTCTCCTCTCGACCTCTCTCCCTCTCTCTCTATGGCGCTGCTTCTGAGCGAGGATTTGTCCTGTTGGTTTGTCTCCCCGCGTCCTGTAGGCTCCAGCACCAGGCGATCGGACAGAGCGGCATGCGGTCGTTGTCAGAACCGGGCTGCCCGACCCACAGTTCGGCGGAGTCTCCGTCCACGGCGGCCAGCCCCACCACCAGCGTCTCCAGTTTGACAGAAAGAGCCGAGACGGGGACATCCATCCTCTCGGTAACCTCCAGCGACTCAGAATGTGATGTATGATAATGGAAAGGAACAAAAGCTAAGAAAAAAATAATTAAAACAAAAACTAGAAAAAGACAAAGTAAGCCCCCATCCCACCCCGAGCAAGCACGCACCCAGCCCCTCTATGAACTGCCCCAGCTCCCTGAGAAAAAAAGCCACCTCAGAACAGCCCTAGAAAGAGAACCGAAAAAAGAAAAGCAGACGCTTAAAAGAATTTAAGAATAAATAAAACCAAACCTTACTAAACAAACAAAAGAAATAAAACAAACAATCCACTCAGTAAAGGAACAAAACAACATTAACATCGTGAATTTCTGATGCTGCAGCGGGGAAAATAATAATTATGATAATACTGTGCTATTATGAATATTATTACTGGAAAAGGAAAAGAAGGAAGGAAGGAAGGAAGGAAGGAAGGAAGGAAGGAAGGAAGGAAGGAAGGAAGGAAGGAAGGAAGGAAGGAAGGAAGGAAAAGAAAGAAAAAGAAAGAAAGAAAGAACGAACGAAAGAAAGAAAGAAAGAAAGAAAGGTGACATTTGTATTCTTTGTAGGACAAAAGCACATTTGAGCGCTTTCCTTTTTAGTTTTTATAAATTTTACTTTAATGTTTGCGCTTTCCCATGGACTGCATTTCACCCATTTTGCATGATATTGATTCAGTTTGCATCTGGAGAAAATATAATATTCTCTATACTAAATAAACAAAATAATAATAAAGACTAGGGTGCGGGAAAGGAAATCGCGGATCAAATTTGTACAAAAAGAGCGAGAAACGCTTTTACAAAAATTTAAAGGAACTCTTTGAAGAGGGAAATAACCAATGTTTATCACCTTTTTGTTGGGTTTTAATCAGCCTTTATCTCTGCTGATCTTTTTTTCCAAATCCAAGTGATGGTTAAAAGTAGATGCAATTGGTTTGTCCTTCTCCTCTTCCTCTCTCCTCCTCTGTCGTTTTTTATTAATATTTTATTTTTTAAAATTGTTATTCTTTTGTTCAACAGACAATCATTTTCTTCCTAAGCACCTTTTTTTCTACACTTCTGTCACTGCCTGTGTGGGTACTGGTTATAAATGTGGAAAAAGAATAGTTATGACTGTAACAGATTTTTATTTTTATTTCAAAATTTTATATGAATTATGTATATCTTAATGATAAGGTCATTTTTCCCAGTTTGTAATATATGTGTAGAAAATACTTGTATATGATACTTGCTCTTCTCTTTCTTGTGTCCCCTGTCTTGCCCTAGCCCTTCCCCTCCCTCTCCTTTCCTTCTTAAAAAAAAGACAGACAGAAAAGAAGAGAAACAACATTTTCCCTGACTTGGGTTCCTTGCACAAACGTAGCTGTCAAGAGGTGACAGACTAGGTTTTCAAAAGGGACCTCAGTGATAGAAGAAACGAGGCTTCGGGTTCCACTGTAGTTTTCTTATGCAAAAGCATTCTGAGTATTTAAATAGCAGCTGTTGGGGTCTCTTCTTAAATTCACGTAGGATGCGTATGCCACTGTTTCCTTTACTGCGTGTCTATCTCTATGTACAAACTTTCTTAAAAAAATCAAATACAGTATTCCATTTTTCTTATCTATTTAGTGATGTTGGTGTGTTTTCTGTATGGCTGGTAAACGTCTCCCGCTGTTCTTTCTCCTCCTGCCACCGAGGAGCTGGGCTTCATGGTAAAAAGGTGTACTCCTGCCGGCTTCTTCCAGTAAAGAGGTGCCTAATGGGCTATAGGGCTTCCTGCTCCAGAAGCCAGTTGGACAGGATAATTTGGGGCTTAGCCCACAAGGTCCCTTGCCGCGTATGTCTACTGCATGTGTCTACTCAGAAGTAAGAGAAGTCAACTCCATTGGCTGGCTTACTCCCAGGTAGAAGCATATAGGATTGCAGCCCTAGTTGCCGAACGGCTTGCTCTAAGGCTTCCTTTCAGCTCTGTAGGATTCCTGTGGATTGCAAAGTCTTCGGGGTTGGTTTCAAAAAGTTGCTACCCGCTCAAAGGTCAGTTCGCTGGAACTAAACCTCCACTGAACTCCATTAATATGACTTCCCCGCTATGGGTGCATTTCAGGATCGGGCTGGAAAACCCACCAATGTAATGACTTGTAAGCCTCTGGTACAATTGGGGCGGGGGAGGTCCGTTAGCCAGGGCTTAGCTAGGTATGGCCAAATGAGGGAGGGGCGGGCCGGAAGGTCTCAAACCCTTTGCTGGCTGCGCGCAGGCGAATGGCGGGCCCAGAACTCCCAGCGGCTCCCGGCCGGAGGAGGGCCGCAGCGTTCCTCCAGGCATGAGTTTATCCCTTCGAACTGCTAGGAGGAGGAGGAGGAGGTGCACAGAGTTCAGCAGCAAGAGGGACAAGAAGGAAGAGTCTTCTGGCACCTTACCTAATACCCGAGGATGAACGCAATCGCAGCCACTGCGTCCTCCTTGTGGTTGGTCCTACCAAAGACTAACCTGGCTAGTCTTCCGAAGAAGGTCGGAATTCCCTAAAGTCATACCGGGGCTTACCTCGCCTGCACCGGGGGAAAGGGGGAAGGCTTTGGCTCCCGAGTCAGCCTCTGTGGGTCGGCGCTCTAAATTAAGGCCCTTGTTAGGAAGAGGCGCTTGCTTCTGCCCGATGAGGCCTGGGCTGGCGCTGCTGAGCATCTGGGGCAGGAAGGGCCCTATCATTGCCATGCTCCCCTCCCCCTTCAAAGGCATGGTCACGCGCTGGGGGTCTGGCCGCCTCTTCAGAGCACCTCCTGCCCTTTCGTGCCCTCCAAGGGGACCGGGCTACATCCTCAGTTATAGCTGCTCCTCCCCTCCCCCAGCCGGGGATGGTGGGAGCTGGAATCCCACCGGTGGGGAAGCCACAGTTTAAGGCTGGCTCGTGTGGATGGCTGCTTTCCCACAGGATTCCCCATCTTTGCTGCTTCCTCTTCCTTCCTTTCTTTCCTCGCCCTCCCCACCCTCGGTCTAAATTATGCTTTTCGGTGGTGTGGTGCTTTGCTTAGGTGAACTCCAAATCACAGATTAAGATGGGGTTGAGGGTGGGCTTTTTTGTTTTGTTTTTCTCGGCCTGCAGCTTTAAAGGCAAACATGACAACGATACAAGCCTCCCAAAGCAAACTAACGAACTCCTTCCTTAATCAGTTTACGGCTCCTCCCTCCGAGTCCTCAGGAGCTGCTTAATGCGCTGAAAGGGCCTTTCTTTGCCCGGACGAAGCGGGGTCCTGCGTCACCTTCGGCGCATTCAAAAGTTTCGGCTTGGCCCGGGGCTGGTTAGTCAGGCGTGAATTAAGAAGAGGTGAATTCTAAACGTGTTTTTACTTGAAAATACAGTTTTGAAACGTTGATTGGGATTAAGGAACCAACGTGCCTGGAATGTTTCTTGACCGTTTCGAAACGCGTTTGGGATTTCCGAAATATCTCCCGCTTGTCCGATGTAAGGCAGGGGGTTGGGATAAAACCTTTGATTCGGGAGGCCTCGTTTTCTTGGCCAGCCGAGTTGGAGAAGGGCGCGGAGGTAATATTTTAAGGGAAGGTGGAGCGTTGCTACTTGGGGCGCCCGGACAAAACCCAGGCCCGCTTGCTTGAGAGTCAATTCCATTGGATTTACGTCTAGGAAAGCTGGGAGGGGTCTGGTCGGGCTGAACGACGGGCCGGGCCGCTCAAAGGGGGCCGCCCTCAAGCCCCATCAATTTCAGGAGAAACCACCCGTGCGCGCTGGCTCCCCCTCTTCCCTGAAGCCCCGGCTGGGACCTAGAAGCGTCTCACTTGATCCGAATCGTTCGTACCGCGCACACCCCGCCCGTTTATGATGAGTCCACACCGAGAGAACAGGGGTAGAGGAGAGAGAAAGAGAAATCCACTAACTTTGACGGCTTCGTGTGCTTGCTGAGAGGTTGTGCTTCCATATTTAGGGATGTAGAGAAGGGAAGATAGAAAAGCTAGAAGGTGTCAAAAGCAGGAGGTAAATGCAGGAGTTGAGGTGACTTATCTGGAATAGTGGGGCCACAGCAGCAAGGAGGCTAGGCGGCAGGCAGGAAAGGACGTACTGTCTCAACCTTTAAAAGCCTTAAAAAGATCACCCCACCATCACTGATCGAAATCAAAGGTGGCTTTTCCCCACATAACTGGCTAGAAATGCCCTCTCTGAGTGCTGCTTCGCTGCAAAATTATATTTAGGTCTGTTCCTGCGAGAACTTGATTTGCTTAGTCTAAGCCCTTTCCTTCTTTCCCGTTGCCTAGAACTGCGCGGATTGCAACCTATTTCAAACTCATAAGCAGGAGTTCATCCTCCTGATATTAAATCCGCGTAGCTGGAAAGAGGAATCTGTTCATGTGCTTAGGAGGGTTGCTGGGCCTTTCTCCAACCGATCAAGTTTAACTTTTGGGCTGGAGGCGATAGTAAAGGGAAGCCATTTGGCCTCTTGGTGAGCCTCTCCCCACTTTAAGAGAAGAAAAGCACTTCATGCACTCCTGGAGAAAAATGCAGACGTGCCTGTCCGAATTCTAGACTGTACTGAATGGGATTTACTCCCAAGTAATATTATGTAGGGGAGTGTAGGGGAGCACAAAAAGGCAGGTCTGGTGCATAGGAAGTGCTTCAATTGAGTTTAACGACCCAGTTCCTAAGCGCCCAGAAGTGCCGCCTTAACAATATTCACTTTGAGAGCACTAACTCGGCTGAAAGGAGATTGCTGTTAGCCTCTCACCTGCCTGGGAATGGAGAAATGAAGCAAGATCTGATCCACCACGCCAGATTCTCTCGCTCTTACTGTTTGAAGAAAGGGGCAAGGAGGGCTAGACCAGTTGTGGCGGAAATCGGTCGGACCCCTTCCGAATCTGCGTGAAATGTGTTTGCCTGATTCATACAAACCTTGAGCACTTGTTTGGGGGTATTCCTCTACACATAAAAGAAGTTAGTTGGCATTCCTTTGACCTCCCACAAATTGCAAGAGAAATTGGAGGATTTCTGTACTTATTCATTTTCACCGAGTCCAATTCCCCCTGATTTCTTGGTAGCAGATTGCAGGGTAGAAGGTGAGGGTTTTTACTCTGGGAAGCTGTATATTTTTGCAAATTAAGCAATTTGGAATTAT